GAGGGTTCCAATAAGAAATGGTGCACCTAAGTTATCATTCTTATTGGAACAAGGAGGTTAGCCTGGCCTCTGATTGATACATGGCTAGATTTACCTCGCTGCACCTTCTCTGTGAGTGACTGCTTGTGACCTAGAGGAATGAGTCCCCTAGACAGGGGAGGAGGCAAATGAGTACAAAACAAATCTGGTCTATTTCTTGTTTTGACCCACTCCATCTATCTTTTACATCTTTGGCTGGCAGCAGACGGTGCAGAAGGACTGCATGCCATCCACATCTCATGGCTGCTTGGCAGAAGATGGTACAGTACGACTGCTAGCCATCCTCATCTCTTGCCTGCCTGGCAGAAGATGGTACAGTACGACTGCTAGCAGTCCGTATCGCCTGCCCGCTCACCATAAGACGGTTCAATAGGACTGACTGCAGGACTAAAGAGAATGACCTGGTCAAGTCACTCCAAATTTAGTCCCTGCGCCCATGTCTGCCCAGGCGCTCCTAGCCGACGTGGCCAGGAGCACCTCGGACACGACGAGGACAACTACCAGTCGTATTGCACCGTCTGCTGCCAGAAGGCAATGGGTTGCTGCTACTGTGTAGCAAAGCCATACCGCGTCTGCCAGCACCCAGGAGACATAGGGTGACGGTTACCTGAGCGGGCTCCATGCTTGCCGTGGTATGGCGTCTGCACAGGTAACTCAGGAAAAAAGGCGCGAAATGATTGTCTGCCCTTGCTTTCACGGAGGGAGGGAGGGAACGGGGGCCTGATGATATGTACCCAGAACCACCCGCGACAATGTTTTAGCCCCATCAGAGTGCTCCATTGTGACTGCTCTGGACAGCACTCTCAGATGCCCGATTGTTTGCCGTTGCTCTGACGCTGGGAGGGGCGACTGAGGACACGGCTTACAGGGTTGGCTTCAGGGAGCTAAAATCAACAGAGGGGGTGTCTTTACATCAAGGAGTATTTCAGGCAGGACTTCACGGAGGGTTCCAATAAGAAATGGTGCACCTAAGTTATCGTTCTTATTGGAACAAGAAGGTTAGCCTGGCCTCTGATTGATACATGGCTAGATTTACCTCGCTGCACCTTCTCTGTGAGTGACTGCAGTGTGACCTAGAAGAATGAGTCCCCTAGACAGGGGAGGGGGGGAAGCAAATGAGTACAAAACAAATCTGGTCTATTTCTTGTTTTGATCCACTCCATCTATCTTTTACATCTTTGGCTGGCAGCAGACGGTGCAGAAGGACTGCAAGCCATCCACATCTCATGGCTGCTCGGCAGAAGATGGTACAGTACGACTGCTAGCAGTCCGTATCGCCTGCCCGCTCACCATTAGACGGTTCAATAGGACTGACTGCAGGACTAAAGAGAATGACCTGGTCAAGTCACTCCAAATTTAGTCCCTGCGCCCATGTCTGCCCAGGCGCTCCCAGCCGACGTGGCCAGGAGCACCTCGGACATGACGATGACGGCTACCAGTCGTACTGTACCGTCTGCTGCCACAAGGCAAGGGGTTGCTGCTACTGTGTAGCAATGCCGTACCGCGTCTGCCAGCACCCAGGAGACATAGGGTGACGGTTACCTGAGCGGGCTCCATGCTTGCCGTGGTATGGCGTCTGCACAGGTAACTCAGGAAAAAAGGCGCGAAACGATTGTCTGCCCTTGCTTTCACGGAGGGAGGGAGGGAACGGGGGCCTGACGATATGTACCCAGAACCACCCACGACAATGTTTTAGCCCCATCAGGCATTGGGATCTCAACCCAGAATTCCAATGGGCAGCGGAGACTGCGGGAACTGTGGGATAGCTACCCACAGTGCAACGCTCCGGAAGTCGACTCTAGCCTCGGTACTGTGGAAGCGCTCCGCCGAGTTAATGCACTTAATGCACTTAGAGCATTTTCTGTGGGGACACACACACTCGAATATATAAAACCGATTTCTAAAAACCCGACTTCTATAAATTCGACCTTATTCCGTAGTGTAGACATACCCTTACAGCCCCTCTGTCAGGAGTGACTCCCCTCAGCACCCGCCTCAAACCTGAAATGGGATCCTCTTCCGCCATTCTCACCCACCCTGCTACACTCGCCAGCCTTCAGCTCCGGCAGAATTGTGCAGACACAAAACCACATCAGCCCCCATCCTAGCTCCACCCCCTCCTCTGGATCCCCTTCATTGCAAGGTCCAGGGACCTTGAGAGCTGTTTGGGCCAGGGGAATACATCTTTCCCGCATATCTGTAAAGCACCATCTACATGCAGGTCGGTGCCACCAAGTGTGTTTGATTTGGTGATGCAATATGTGCTTGGTTTGTGTTAAGCTGTGCATCCAGCTTTTGTTTGGTATTGCATTGTGTAATAAGTATGGTGTTGCATTGTGTGTTTGGTGTTGTGTGTTCAGTTTGGTGTTGCACTGTGTACTCCATTTGGTGTTGCATTCTGTGTTTGTTTGATGTTGTGTGCTCAGTTTGGTGCCGCATTGTGTACTTTGGTGTTGTACTGTGTGTTTGGTGTTACATTGTGTGTGCTGTTTGGCATTGCATTGTGTACGCAGTTTGGTGTTGCAGTTGTGTGTTTGGTGTCGCATTGAGTGTGCTCACTTTGTGTTGCATTGTATGCAGTCTGAACTTGTGTGTATAGTCTGACGCTGCTGGGCTAGGTTTGCTGTTGCATCATGTGTGCTCAGATTGTGTTGCATTGTGCTCAGAGTGAAGCTGCTGTGTGTATAGTCTGACGTTGCTGTGCTGTTTGCTGTTTCACTGAGTATGCAGTTTGCAGTATTGCCAACCCCAAGCATTCAAAAATAACAAATTGGGATTGAGATTGACTTAAAAATCATAAAAAGAAAAGGAGTACTTGGGGCACCTTAGAGACTAACCAATTTATTTGAGCATAAGCTTTCATGAGCTAAAAATGACAACGTTGGGATTTTTATTTGTCTTCTGCAGGGACTCTGTGCCCAGCCCCTCGTTCCCCTTTTTCCCTCCACCACATGGCAGGGGCTCTACGTGCCCCAACATTTTCTCCTGCCCATGCCATGGCCAATCCACCAGGTGTCCCCCATTTCCCCCTTCCAGTTTTCCTGGTTTTCACCAATCTCACTAGGATTCTACCCACTGACACCTAGAACATTCCCTGAAATTGTGGAACGGATCCGATGTGGCATTCAAAAGTTCCTGAATTACAGACAGACCAACAGAGAAACGTTGTCAAGCTGCATATTAGACCTCAGTTGGCTCAGACAATAACAATGGCAGATTCCCCTTCTTCTTTGCACAACCCTCTGTGCACGAAGGTCCAGACGTGGTCACGGGCCACTTTTGTCTCTAACCCTCCCCTATCTCCCTGCTTGTTGCCACTTGTAGAATCTCATCATTGTCAGGGCAAGACCCATCTTCTCTGCAACCTGGAACAACCTCCCTCTACGTCTCAGCCTCTTCACCTGATTGGGAATCGGAAAACACCTCTTGGTTCCCTTGCCTGCGCTGTTTTCATTCCACACTCCCTCTGCTATGATCTCAGTCACGGCTTTGTCTAACTCTGTAAAGCTAGGCACAGTCGCCATATCTTATTTGAACTGGTGTGAATCCAGATCTACTCCGGAGTCACACTTGACCCCCTCTGATTGGCTACCTGACCCGCTTACCCACCTCCTAGGGAGGAGGGGAGGCTGGATGGGAACTGGGTAGATGTGGGGGTGGGAGATGTGAGGGACAGGATTGATCTGGAGGTTGGGGCAGAATTAATTGCTGGGCCGGGGAGGGGCAGATGTGGGGTGAGAGCATCTGCAGCAGGGGCCAAAATCTCCTGACCCGATAAAGTGAAGAGAGTGAATGGCACTAATTGTCACACACACACACACACACACGTGCACACACACGGGGGATGGCCAGGGGGAGTTCAACAATCAAAAGACAGACCAGAAAAACACAGTTTGTTTGTTTTGTTTTTTTAAATCTCATTATTGTTGGGCCCTACTCATGCTGTTTGATCTTTTGAGGTTAGCAATATTGGAAACTGCGGTTTCCCTGGGGCAGAGCTGTCTAGTTTGTTTGTTGAATCCAGTGAGAGGAAACACACATATTAGCTCTGCGATTCATTGGGGAAATACAGTTACTAAAATGCTAGGCGACTGTTGTGTTGCATTGTGTGCAGTGGGATGTTCACGTGTGCACATTGTGTACATAGCTTTTTTGCTGTTGCATTGTGGGTACAACTTTTCTTTGGTGTTGCAGCATCTGTTCAATTTGTGTTGCATTGTGTCTACAGCTCATTTGATGTTGCATTGTGCGTACAGCTTTTGTTTGGTGCTGCATTACATGTTCAGTTTGTATTCCATTGCATTTTGTGGGCTCCGTGTTTGTTGCATTATGTGTGCGGCTTTTGTTTGGTGTTGCAATGTGTGTGCACATTTCATTTGGCGTTGCATTGTCTGCACAGCTGTTGTTTGGTGTTGCATTTTGTGTGTTGACTTTGTGTTGCATGGCGCCTGCAGCTTTTGGGTGGTGTTGCAATGGGTGTGCATTTTGCTTAGCTTTAAAAGGTGGGTGCACTTCGTTTGCGGGTACATTGTGTGTGCTCAGTTTGTTTTGCATTGTGTGTGTGTGCAGCTTTTGTTTGCTGTTGCATCACACTAGCCCAGGGACAGGGGGTCAGGTTATAACCTGCAGAAGAGCAGCCAGGCCCATCCCCACTGGACAAGAGGCCGCTGGAGCTCCCAGCTGGGTATGGCTCTGCCCTGAACAACTTGAAACCTTACTCCTCCCTGAATAATACCCAATGCCTCCATGGCCCCTGGGAGCCCGTTGCACCCTGGGAGTTGAAGTCCCCTTGCCCATTCTCTGCCTGGACTTCCCAGCTGGGCAAACTACACTCCCCAGATTCCCTGGCTAGGAGGCTCCCGGGCTCCCTCCCCCCCAGGGCTCTCTGGGAGCTGCAGTCTCCCCTCCTACCCCACCCTAGCGCCAGGTGGCCAGAGGGAACTACAACTCCCAGCATCCTCCGGGCCGCCCCTGCCCCCCGCCCCCTGCTGGGCTGAGTGGTGTTTTTGTTGTTGGTAAAAGGTTAGTGGAACAGCTGATTGCTCTGTAGGGTAAGAGACCTTCTTTATCTAATGGGGCGCCTCTGCTTTTCTCCCCCTCTCAGGCCCCGGCTCCCCCACTCCTTCCTCTGCTGCTGCCTGGGGGAGGGGGTGGGTCTGGGCTTTTGGAGAGGGGCAGTTCCCTTTCTGCACCGTGCAGCCTCGTGCCAGGGGCTCGCTGGGGACAATGCGTGCACCCCCCGCAGTGCTCCCCTTCCCCCCCCCCCCCCCGCGAGGGCTGTGCCCTGGAATCCGGCAGCCCACTGATCTCAGGCTCGCCTGGCCTGTGTTCGAGGCCTTGGGCGGCTGGGCTCCCTGCTGCAGGGAAGGCAGCCTCTGTAAGGGGACAGCCCAGGAGGTGGAAACTCGCCCCCCCTCCCACCACAGCTGACAGCCCCCTCCCCCCCCCCCAGCTTAAGCCCCCTTCCACTGCTTTACCCCCATCTCCCCTGGCTGCTGGGACCTACCGGGCTGAGATGTTTGCCTGGTTGGAGCTGAGCCCCCTGGATGCCCCTGGCAACCCAGAGATTAGCCACCCCTATGGTATTAAAGAGCAAAAAATCTCTCCCATGTCTGTATTTTCACCTGGGGCTGGTGCATCAGGGCGATCTTCATCCCCCCGCAGCCACCCCCCTGCGCAAGTTCCCCCCTGTGCAGTTTCCTTCCCCAGCACGCCTGTGGCTTTGGGTTTCCGAACACGAGTTTCCTTTATCGCTTTGGTTTGGAGCCGTTTGATTTTTTTTAAAGCCTTTTATTCTGAGCAAGAAGGGCAGGGGCGGGGAGGGGGAAGAGTTTCCCCGAAACCCGTGGGGGACCCAGGTCTTTTCTTCTCTTGCCAAGCTGGGAGGTGGTTTTTCCTTGTCTCTCCTTGGACCCGGCCTTGCACAAGGCTGGTGCACGCTGCTTGCCTTGTGCAAGCATCAAGGAATCCTCCCCCTGTTCCTAGCAGCCAGGTGAGCGGAGAGGATGGCTGGCAGGCAGCTGCTGGGATTTGTTTTGCACATGGCTGCTCCTTGGCTGGCGTGGCACAGCTGGAGAAGCAGACTCCTGGGAGGGGAAAGGAATGTACTGTAGCTTCAGGCACTTGGCTGGATGATGCCCAGGAGGTCCCACGCCAGCCGTGCGCTGTCTGGGCTTGTGGGGCTGATCATGAGGTGTCTCGCCCAGGCCATGAGCGCTTTTGAGCAGTGATTGTGCAGGATTCCCAGGAGAGCAAGGCCAAGAGGCCCCAAGTGAAATCAGGGCCCTGTTGTGGCCACAGAGAGGCAGTCCCTGCCCCAAATCGCTCAGAGTCTCCATAGGCAAAGGGTGGGAGTGGAAATGGAGGCACGCGGTGGGGAAGTGACTTGCCCCAGGTCACATAGCAGAGCTAGGAGTAGAAGCCAGGTGTCCTGCCTTAATTCCACTCTCTAGCCACAGCCGCCACCCTGCTAACCTTAAGATGCTCAGAGTTTCATTTTATATCAGAGGAAGTTAGTAATAGCAGGACTCTATAAAGGAGCTAATGTTAATACCTAGCTCTTATCATCGGTGGGTCTTACAGTGCTTACAAAGGAGGCCAGTTTCATTATCCCCATTTTACAGATGGGGAAACTGAGGCACGGAGAGGCAGTGACTAACACAAGGTCACCCAGCAGAGCAGGGTGTGAGCTGGCACTGGAGTCCAGATCCCCGGAATGCTAATCCTGTCCTGTATCCACTAGGCCATGCTCCCTCCCAGCATATCTTCCACCCAGGCATCACTGCACCAGGGATTTTAATTGGTGCAGGCGCTCTTTGGGGATCTCATTCAGATGTACTGGGACACTCGCCACGCAGGATCGATGCACACGGGCGCCAGTGTGCGGAGAGTCTAATGATGGCAGGGAAGGCACCAAGTTACAGGGCGCCTCTGTCACATGGGATCATCGAGGGAGGATTTTGGCTGGGCCAGAGAGGAAATTGGGGTCACCCCCTTTGCAGTGAACCCCTCTGAAGATGTTTAGAGCCCCATCAGTGCTGTGTACGAGTCTCTTGGCTGTTACCCACATTGTTAACTTGTTGTGTAGATGCAACCTCACCTTGGCCATAGTGCTGACAAGACAATCTAGCTGCTGAGTTAATTGCAGCTGCTGTGTAGACAGGACCAGATGTCTCTCTGCCTGTGCCTAGCTTACAGCCCTGATGTGGTGTTCTGTCCCTGCTGCATTTTGTAAGCTAAGCAGGAATGGGCCTGTACACTGCTTGGAGGGGAGACTTTCCAGAAAAACCTAGGCTTCTGAGGGAAATGACTCTAGCGATAAAGCAAGGGGTGCTGTTATTATTTCTGTATCGTGGTAGGACTTCGGAGGCCCAGTCATGGACCCAGCGCCTGTTGCGCTAGGTGCTGTATAAACAGAATACAAAGACCCCAGAGTGCTCTAAGCTGTCCTGAACCGATGCCCCAGCCAGGTGCTGGAGCCACCACTTTCCAGCTGAGATGTAAAATCAAGGGCCTGGCTCTTTTGCTGTTGCTAAGCATCCTGCGACCGCTTTCACAAGAGCCGGGGCTTTCACCGTGCATCCGTGCATCCGTGCACCCCCCTCCGTGTGTTTCCCCGGCTGGGTGTGAGACTCAGTTTCGCCAGCCCCAAATGTTCAAACATCATGAGTCAGGCTCACCAAAAATCCTGAGGTTATGTAAAAATATTAGCGTTTGGGTTCTTCTTATTGGCCTTCTGCTTGTTGAGCCTTTGCGGTGCACCGGGGTCACATTTGGAAGCTTTCTCCACTGCCACGGGGGCTGGAAACGTACTTTTTCTTTAAGAAAGGCTGAAATCATCACGTATCCCCTTGACTCCAGGAGCTGGGGCTTTAAGGAAAACAATCATTATCCTGAGGCTCATGACAAAATCATGAGAGTTGGTAACACTGGAGACTCCACTTCCTGTCCTCTATTGCACTGGTGTGGACTCCGCCCCAGGGCAGCAATCAGAGTGATCCTAGTATACGCCACTTGTAAAGCACTTTGGGATCTGATGCTGGAGAGGCAGGATGAGACCCAGATACTCCTGGTAGGCCAGGGCGGGGCCAGGGGAGTGGGGTCGTGTTTGTCCTCTCACCTCGCAGCAGTGTTCCTTAAAACCAATGCGGTTCCCCTTGTGCCACAGTATCCGTGCCCAGGGCAGTAGACGCATCTGCTCCCCCCAGTGTAGTGGCCAACTTCACCCGGTTCCATAGGGCTGCATTTTCTGGGGCATACTGGCTAGAGCACTGGACGGGGACTTGGAGACCTGGCCAACTAGGTGACCTGGGCAAGTCCCGTCCCTGCTCTGTGCCTCAGTTTCCCCAGCTGTGAAATGAAGAGAATGATGCTGACCTCCTTTGTAAAGAGCTTCGAGATCCATGGGTGAAAGGCACAATAGAAGAGCTAGCTCCTGCGATTAAAGTTGAGAACCCCTTTGTTTAAAGGTTGACTGTTCTAAGTCAAATGCTCTCTTGGATTCTCTTGAAATGTGACATGCCCCCTGGGGATGCAGGGTCGGGTAAATGATCCAAATCCAAAATACAGCCACCTGAAAAACCCAGTATTTCATCAAGGCAACAGATTCTACCAACGTGGTGGGGGTGGGAGGGGCACACACCTGAGGCTCAGACTGTGTCTTCGATTGTCCCCAGCTGAGCTCAGTCACCCGACAGTTAACTCAGCTCATGTGTGGTCCCCACTGCTCCTTGGGGGAGGCAATTTTGAAAGCACTATTAAAGGCAGAGTTAGGCTGTCTGCATTAGGGGTTGCGAAACACTTGTGTGCCGAAGAACTTGCAAAGCACGTGCGCAGAAAGACGATTTCTAGCCATAGTGATTGCACTTGACATGGTGGGTTGAGGGGATGGGCTGTGACCCTGAGCTTTTGAAAGCTACCCGTGGCAGATCTCTGAGGACAAATTACAGGCCAAGTGCGACTGTCTGCCTCGATTGAAGGGTTTCTGTTACAGCTGGGAACTGTAATCCCAGGACAGCAGGGAACTGAGAAGGGCGCAAACTCTTTTTGAAAGGAAAAGGAATGACACGGGAATGCTTGCTGCGCCAGGCCAGGGGTTGGGAGAGTGCTGGGGAAGGGGAATCATGGGAGTAATGGGGATGGGTGGCAGGGAGCGGAGAGGGGTTGGGGGCTCCGGGGAGGGTGGGACATGGGGAGGGGAGACGTGGGGGAGCAGTAGGGTAAATGGGGTGACTAGGGATGTGGGAGCATGTGAGCCCCACCTTCTCCCCCCTATGTGTGTATGAGGATCTTGGGAGGGAGGTGTCAGCCTGCTCCTCCGAGAGGGTCTGAGTCCCTCTTTCTGCCCCTGTGTGTGCTAGGTTCTTGAGGGCCCAGCTGTTCTAAGGGATCTCAGCCCCTCCCCTGCCCCCATGTGTGTGCTGGGATCCACTAAGCCCTGTCTCTCTGGAGTGAGGAGACCAAGCCCCTTTCCCTGCCCTTCCCCCCTCCATGTGTGTGTGCTGGGATCTTGGGGGCCCTGTTATTCTAAGGGGTCTGAGCCCTTCTCCCAACAGATGTAAACCGGGTTCTGGAGGGGCCCTGACTACACCACACATTGAAATCTCTGAAAATCAGACAATTCAAAGTTAAGGTGACAGCACCCCTGCGTGGTGCTGGCCAGGGGGCCAGCTTGGAGGCTTGGCGAGCCAGGGGCCTCGCCAGAGCAGGGAGTGCCTGGAGGGGGCAGTTTGGGGACCAGCGCAGCCTCTGTAACTGAGAAATGTGTGGCCCTCCCATAAGCAGCTGCTTCTGATACACGTAGAACAAATTTCTTACGTGCTCATGGCTTCTCACATGCCAAGGAATGGTCCTGAATGACTTTATGGGGCAGGACAGGGAGGGGAAGCTGGAAATGGGGGTGGGGGTGCTACCTAATGTGAGAAATGGGGGTGGAGAAGGAGAGAGACAGCACTGTGTAAAGCTACTGAAACTAAACCACCACGGAATAAAATAGTCAGATTTTTGGCCAGGGATGAGATTTCCTCACTGCCCTGTTAGCAGCACCACCTTCCAGACATTTCACAGCATGACCTGTGGTTCTGTGCCAAAAGGGACAGGAGCTCGTAGGATCACATAGCCTGCTTGCTAGCCAGCAACACGCTGGCTACAAACTTAGGGGACAGCTATAACGACCTGCCTGACCCCTGACTCCTACAAAAAATGTTTCTCTTTCTGGTTGGAAAACTAGGAAATTCATGGACAAAAAACTTGGTTAACACAGAGCTGAAGTTGCCTGTTGGGTCTCTTGCCCATCCAGCAGGACTCAAACGTTGGACAACCAGAAAAGGCAGGGTGAAGGGACGCCCCAACACAGCCTTAACTCTGCCCCTCTGGAGCTGGTGGTAGCCAGTAGGAATTATCTGTGTGCGCTCCAGCTGTGCTCGCTGTTGTTAGGTGGCGCTATATGGAACGGTGGAGGGATTAGCTGGAGAAGCTGGGCAGAGCTGTGATTGTGATGAGGGGGTAATATGGGGGTGCCCTGCCCTGCAGAGATTCTGAGCAGCTCTGCCCACGCCTCGCCCCACGTGTGTGAGGAAAGGAAAACGGTACATATGCATCCTGAGAGATGCCGTTTGTCTCATTCCAGTGCTGAGCTGGGAAGCATGTGTCAGCAGAAGGGCACGGGGGTCTTCTTGCCATGGGGGGCGTCAGCAGTGAGGTGGGGTACAAGGGTAGGGTGGGCGTGTCCTGATGGGTGAGCGACAGTGTTGTGTTTGAGGGGATCCTATGTGGGATGGTGAAAGGTTGTAAAATACAGTGGGTGTGGGGTTGGTTTTCTGGTGGAGGCACCGTGTCCAGGCATAGGGTGGGCATAGGCAGCACCCATTCAGTCCAGCTCACCTGGACACAAGTTTCACCTTGGTAAAGAGACTGCATTGGACTCTGTGCTGCAGCTGGCGTGTGCTTCTTCCCTGGGCATGGGCACAAGCTGCAAAGGCAGAGTGCAAGTACGTGTCTTTTGGGCACCCTGGGTCATCGCTCAGAAAGGGCAGGATTAAGGTTACATTGGTGTGCACCTTTACTCTAAGTTTCCTGGCTGTCATAGGTCTGCGTTTTGCTGGATGGGCACGGGGCACCACGGGGCAACCTGATTTGTTTTTGTCAATGGATTTGTGTTAATTCCTAGGTAGACCCCAGCCAAGGTTACGAGTCTAGGTGCAAGCCACCATCCCTGTGCCAAAGATTTCACAGGGTGAGAGGAGAAACTGAGGCACAGAGCAAAGGAGTGAGTTGCCCAGGGTCACACAGCAGGTCAGAGGCAGAGCTGGGAACAGAACTCAAGTGCCCTGAGTCCCAGTTTAGTGCCCTTGCCACTAACCAGAGTTAAAAAGACTAGACAAAGGTCCCTTTCTGTCTGAAATATGTGTGGTCTTGGGGGTCCAGCTCCAAAGGTGCCTGAGTGCCAGGACTCCTGGGTTCAATTCCCCACTCTGAAATGGACTCCCTGTGTGCCCAGGAAGCTCTGTAAAATAGAGACAGTGGCACTGCCCTGCTTCCTGCGGGCTGGGAAGCTAAATGCATCCATGCCCATGAGGTGCCCACAGTAATGAGTTCCGTGGATGTACCCATGGCATGTAGGGAAGCAATGACTTTCAGGGCATCCCAGGCTGGTCCAGGGTGGGATTTTCCCATCCTGCCCCTTTCCCATCACTTTTTTCCCTCCCACCTGTGACATTCCCGGGGTACAATCTGGACTGTTGAGCAACTGTGTCCCCTCAATTCTCCAGTCTGGGGTGCCTTTTACACGGCTTCGCTGTGAGAGCAACCACTCCTGGTCTGCTCACACACATGTAACTCACTCACAGCTACACTGCAAGAGTGTTACAGCCAACCACTCCTGAATTACACTGAAACTCCCAGTCCCAGACTTTCCCCCAGAAATGTGCATCTGGTACTGCCCAGCTCTCTCCTGGACACCACAAACTCATATAAAGTCCATCATTTTATTAATAGAAAATGGTATGCACAAACCCTGGTATCTCAAATGGAGTTTCCCAAATACTTCAGTCCAAACACCCTGGTCTAGATAAAACAATAAAACAAGTTTATTAACTACAGAAGGATAGATTTTAAGTGATTACAAGTAATGAGGCATAAAAGTCAGAATTGGTTACAAAGAAATTAAAGGTACAACGCAACTAACATCTAACTTAACAAGCTAAGTGATTTCAAAGCAAAAGTCTTTCTCACTATATCTTCTAGCAGCCTCACTGGCTGAATTCCTTTCTGCCTGGATCCCTTCCTTTGTCCTTCAAGTGTTGTCAATGCCGTGAGTAGAGAAGAAAGGAGAGATCTTTAGGGGAGTTTCTTCCCTTTTCTTACAGTTCTGTTTTTCTTTGAGAATCATCTCCAGCTGAGGTTCAGGAGACAGCAGGAGATGGGAACCTCCAGCACTTTCTTTGCCAAAATGTAGATTTCTCACTCTCACCCTTTTGCCTGCCAAAGAATGGCCACTTACCCAGGTGATGGTCCATTTGATTTTGTTGACACCTAGCTGAGGGATCAGTTTGCCTGGTGTCTCTGTGGAACTGGTTTGTGGCTGCCTTTCTAAACTTGGAACATGTCTCTGCAATGTCATAAGTAGAATTGAATAACTTTACATACAATGTTGTCACACACCTTTTACCAGGACAATAATGGTAAGCATATTATGAGTTTTTGAATGATACCTCACAAGGCATACTATATACAAAATTTATCATAGTCTTGTAGAAAGGGTGAACATTGGGTTACAGACTGTCACACTGTCCTTCTTCACCTTCCACCCCGATGAAGAGGATGGAGGAGGTGTCTCCCAGCAAGTCGCAGGCACAGGCCCACCCTACTATGGCCTTCCTCAATGTGGCCCGCACTTACGTGCCCAACACCAAGGTCGAGTGCCACTACACTCTGCCCCCCAGCATGAAGCCGTCGGCCCGCGACTGGATCGGGATATTCAAGGTACTGGGAAGAAAGAGGCGGGTGGGAGCTGGATGCCTTAGCTGGGATCTCCCCTGTAGCTGTCCCCATGGGGGGGGGGCCATGCAGCAAGTGTTCTGATCAGGCAGTGAATCAGGCTGAGATGGGGAGGCACAGGGTGCGTGGGTGGCCTCCTCATCACCTGGGGTACAGGCTTCCCCTCCTATTGCATTCTCTGCTGTTCCATTGCGCTGAGCCTGCAGCGTGCTCATGAAAGGAGAGGCCCACTTCTGCAGGCCACCTTGAAATTCACCCACAAGTCGACCAAGCCTCCTGCTTTTCCCTGCATGCAAAAGCAAAACGAGATAGTGTGGCCTAATGGCTAGAGCGCTGGCCTGGGACTCATGAGACCAGGCTTCTATTCCTGGTGGCCAGCCTTGGCAAGTCACTTCCCCTTCATGTACCTCAGTTTCCCCATCTGTAAAATAGGGGCGGGCAGGGGAATGATACTGCCCTCCTGTGCTGTGTAACAGCTAGGCAGACCCAGGCTTGAGGTTTCAGCAGTTCCAAGCCCGCACCTAAGCATCCACGCTGCATGGTAAACCTGGGCTTACAATTGCCAGACCCGGGTGTCGCAGCCAAGCTAGCACGCCCATGCTGCGCCGTGCAGACCTTCGACTTGGGTCTGCCGCTTGAGCTGCATGCAGACTGCAAAATGACACGCCTTGGCTGTGACCCACCCCCACCCCCAGCAGGGCTGTAAGACCCGGGTCCTGAGTGCTTGCTGCCCCAAGTCAGCCAGATCTGTGTGTGGACGGAAGCGGGGCTTGGGCTCAAACCTGGGTCAGAGCCCAGGCTTAGTGGGCAGCATAGACACCCATTGCTGTGATAGTCCCTCCCAGTCCCCCGCAATGAGGACAGTGACACTGGCATTTGATGAGCGCTAGAGAAACGCTTAGCTAATGCCAGGGGTTCCTCAGACACCTTCTTGCCTGCGTCTGTCTGTCCAGGTGGAGGCCTCATCCGTGCGGGATTACTACACCTTCGTGTGGTGCGTGGTGCCTGACGGAGGCGCGGAGGGGGCGCCCGTCCATTCCAGTGTCCAGTTCCATGGTAGGGAGGCGAGCTCCTGGGGAGCAGGGGTACGGAGATCACGTGCGTGGGGGTGGCGGGAGGGTGAGATCGGACGGGGGGGTCAGTCAGTGAGCAGCCAGAGCAATGGCCAGAAGGGGTGGCAGCCCTGGGAGAAGGTTTGGGTTACGGAGGGTTTGCCGTGGCTTGTCGGACCAAGGGCCCATCTAGCCCGGTATTCCGGCCTCCCTGATAGACATGGTCGTGCCAGCAGGCCCATCTAGCCCAATATCACCTTGCATTGCTGGGTCAGACCCACGGGCAGATCCAGCCCCGTATCCCCACCAGATCGGGCCCATGGGCCCAACTAGCGTGGCGTCCGGCCTCCAGGCATGCTGCAAAGCCAAATGCTCACTGAAGCCCCCCCTGCCTGGGCGTATGGTGCAGTGACTACAGGGGGCATTGGGAGGGGAGGGGAGGGATGGGGGTAAAGCAGAGAGGATCCTAGGAAGGGGTGCAGGAGGCAGCCAGGGGGAAGGAGCGGGGCCAGGACTGGAATGGGATAGCAGGTCTCCGAGCAGCCCCTGATGGAACGGGCATCCAGGCCACCGTCGACCTTTGGCAGTACCCGCTGGTTGTCAGAGAGGCCAAGCCGGAGTGAGCTGAGAGAGGCCAGGCCAGAGCAGGCCATACAGACTAGGCTCAAGGCCAGGGGGCGGTGGACTGGCTGGGGAGCAGCACCTCTGTGACCAATGTGGTCTGCTGACAAGGCACTCGCCAGCCGCTCTGCCATGGCACCGACCACACTGGTGCCAGGACTCAGGAGTGCGGGGCAGTTGCTGTGGGCAAGACGTGTCAGGGGAGAGCCAGGGACCAGACCTAGCCCCAGACTATGGGGCATCCGAGCCCCAACCCAGAGGCAGTCAGCCTCCGGGCAAGGCCCTAACAGCGGTGGGGCAGAAGCATCTGATGCTGGGCCGTCTTTGTCCTGCTGTAGCCAGCTACCTGCCCAAGCCGGGGGCCCAGCAGTACCAGTTCCGCTACGTGGACCGCCGTGGCGAGGTGCGCGGCCAGAGCAGCCCCTTCCAGTTCAGCGAGCCCCGGCCCATGGACGAGCTCGTCACACTGGAGGAGGATGACGAGGGCAACATGGACATGTTGCTGGTGGTGCCCAAGGCCACCCTGCTGCAGGTAATGAGGGGTCAGTATTGCCTGGTGGGTAGAGCACCAGATTGGGTGCCCGGAGACCTGGGTTCTGGTTCCAGCTCTGCCAGTGGTCTTGGGCAAGTCACTTCCCAGGTTTGTGCCTCAGTTTCCCCTGGGCCTGGTTAGGCTGTGAGCTCACCCAGTGAACAAGGTGGAGGGCAATGGGAGGGATCAGCTGTTGCTCTGCCCAGGAGGGCACCTGGACATGTCCTGGTCAACTCAAAACCCTCTCCTCCTGCCAGGCTTTTCTCCCTGCGGGGCAGGCAGTAACAACTGCATTGGGAAATGGGGCAGAGCTTAGCCCTGGCCCCGCCCTCCATCAGCTCTGCCCCTTCAGAACGACCTCCCGACTGTGATAAGAGCCTGCCTACCTGAGTTAACCCCTTGCCTGCCTTTGCGTCCTGCCATGTTCTGGGGGCCTGGGGTGAGTGTAGTGCCTGCCCCCTCTGTCCGTACTAAAACGCCGGTCCCTGTGGGTCCCATTCCCCCCCAGAACCAGCTGGAGGAGAGCCAGCAGGAGCACAGCAGGCTGCTGCGAGAGAAACTCCAGCTGGAGGAGGAGGTGAAGGAGCTGCAGGCCCGGATTGAGCAGCTGGAGGGGGCTCTGGGCACCATGCGGGATGAGCACACCAAGCTGGCCGAGCAGTACAAGGTGTGTGGGGTGCCCCCTGCGGGCACCGAGCCCTATCAGGCAACAGCCACTGGGTTGAGTCCCCCACCGCCTGCTTCCCGTCGCCCATCACACTGGGGGTAAACTGAGGCACGCACGTGGGTGAATGAGGTCTCCTGGCTCTTGTGTTCAGGCCACTGGGCTGGGCTACTCCCGGGAGATGCCCACCTAGGAGGGGACCCCATATTCCTCCTTGCATTCCCCCCACCCTGCTACCCACAGGCTTAGCCCCAAATTCCAAAGGAGCTCTCCAGCTTGAGGGGGGGGGTCCCTGGGCTTCCCTGCTCCTTGCCAGAGCACCCAGATTCTGTGCTGATCCTGTATCCCTGATCCCGCTCACCCCTCCCCTCCCTGCCCCGCCCGGCGGCTCCTCTCCCAGGATCTCTCGAGCTCCCATGCAGCCGTGATGGAGGAGCGGGATGCACTGAGCCGGCAGCAGGCGGGACAGCTGGCCCGCATCCAGGAGCTGGAGGAGGACGTTCAGGCCCTGAGCGAGAAGGTGCTGCAGAAGGAGGTGGAATTGGACAGGTGAGCAGCAGTGGGCGGGGGTCAGCAGGCATGCGGAGGGGAGTTAGGGTCAGTGCTGTGGACTGGCAGGCAGGGAGGCAGCCTAGGTGCCAACTTCTGCTCCCGCCAGTGGGTGCTCAACCCCCCTTTTCCCCTGGCCCCGCCCCCACTCCACCCGTTCCACGAGGCCCCGCCCCTGCCCTGCCCTCTCCCACCCCTCCCTTGCCCCGCCCTAACTCTGCCCCCTCCCTGCCCCTATTCCAACTCCTTCCCCAAATCCCTGCCCCGGCCCCACCTCCTCCCCTGATCTCGTCCAGTCGCTAAGCAGGGTTGAACCTGGTCAGTGCTTGGATGGGTGACCGCTGAGGCCAAACCCAGGGTCTTGCGGGAAGCTGAAGAGGCCCGCTGTTTGGCGGGGAGGGTGCTCTTGCCCTGAGTGAGAATAGGCTGATGCCCTAGGGGGTGATGTCCTGTGCTCCAGGGAGTAGGGTGGGGGCTCAGTATGGGGTGCTCTCTCCTTTCTTCCCTCCCCCCGAAGCGGCGTGGACTCTGATGTGCCGTCGGGGTGCAGCCTCTGGGGTGGGAGTGGGGTTGCAGTGCCCCGTATTCCCAGGCCGTGCTGACTAAAGGGGACCCGTCAGCGGGGCTGCAGGACACAGCCTCCCCCTGGGGTTCTGACCCGGCAGCAATGGGTCTGCCCGGCCCCCTCGCTGTGCCTCACCCGCCCCCCCACCTCTGTAGCCGGCAGTGCCCCAAGCCGAGCCGGGGCTCACCCTGCCTGTCTCCATCTCTCCCTCCCCCCCCCCGCCCCGCCCAGGATGAAGGACACGGTGAAGTCCCTGGTGCGGGAGCAGGAGCAAATCCACCACCAGCTCAAGGAGGAGAACGCCGAGAAGGAGCATTACCAGGTGAGCACTGCGGCGCCCCACAATGGGGGGACCCGGGGCAGGGCTTGTAGGGGTGACTTGCTGGTGGTGGAGCTAGCTGGGGTGAGCAGAGGAGCGGGGGTTCCTCCCCTCCCCCTCAGACACACACAGGAGTGGGGGGGTCTCTCTCCATACATGCGTAGAGCGGCAGGGTTCCCCCATCCCCAGGGGACACCCAGAGGGAAGGGAGGTGGGTCCCACCCCCTCTCAGGATTCTCTGGGCTGGCACGTGAGGATCAGGTGTCCCCCACCCCAACCCCCCAGGTCAAGCTGCAGGCCTCGGAGCAGGAGAGCCGGAACCTGGCCTGCGACCTGCTGCTGGCCAAGACCCGGCACGGCGAGAAGGTGTCGCAGGCCCTGGTGCTGCAGGAGGACATCAGCAAGCTGCAGCAGAAGCTGGCAGCCGCACAGCAGAGGACGGTGAGTGCCCAGGGTGGGGGGCCCCCCTTGGTGCCAGGGGGCAGCCTCCGCTCCCCCCTCCCTCTGCTTGGGTGTGTGCATTCACCAGCCCTTCCCCTGGAAAAGAGGGGATTAGAACGGTGTCACTGCAAGAGCAGGGGGATGGGAGCCAGGACTCCTGGGTTCTCTTTCCCGGCTGTGGGTGCCTGTGTGTGTTTTAGGGGTGAGGACAGGGAGCCAGGACTCCTGGGTTCTTTTCCCACTGACTCCTGAAATGCAGCCACTTCTGGGGCATGGAGAGTAGTAACAGGATAGAGTTTTACCAAGAAGGCAGCAGCCCAAACCCTGCTCACGTGAAAAGTGCTGCAGGATCTTTGGCACCCTCCTGGAGCAGGATTTTGAAGATCTCTGCCAGGAGGGGAGTCTCCAGGCTCCTCAGAAAGCCTGCATTAGCCCTAATGGGATTCGAACCCTGGCTTAGAGGAAGGCCAGCTATTTCCGGCTTGTCTTTGGTGCATAGACCTCAGAGCTACCCTGCACCTAATTGAGCAGTTTGCCTTGATAACATCCTGTAGCAGGGAGTTCCGCATGCTAACGGCAAAGAATTTTAACAGTCTTTTAAATGCCCTCAACTGCTCCCTTGTCGCTGTGTATGGGAGTGGGATGCAGGGGCAGAACCCAGCTGGCCTCTTCCATCCCACTCATTATTTCCGATCCCCCCACATTGCCTTTCCCTGCCCTGCCAGGCCCAGCTGGAAGCGCTGTGTGAGCAGCTCCGCTCCACCCAGGACCTCCTTGCCGCCAGCCAGCAGAAAGTGGTGCTGCTGGGGGAGGAGTTGGCCAGCGCATCCTCCATCCGGGACCGGACCATCTCGGACCTGCACAAGAGCCGGCTGGAGTCAGCCGAGACCAACATCAAGCTGGCGGACATGACCCTGAAATGGAAGGAGGGGAAAGGCCAGTGGTGGAAGGAGAAGAGCAACCTGCTGCAGAGCATAGAGGTGCCAACCCCCACCCCGCTGGGCCTCTCACTTGAATGGGTGCAGCCACTGCTGGGGTGCAGCCACCCCTGGGATGGGGTACTGCCAGTGCAGCAGGATTAGGATGGGAAATGAAAGTGCATCCCCTAGCTGGGCTTGTCTCAGTGACCGGTGGACAGGGAGCTGGGGCGAGCATGTCCAGGCCTTGGGAAAAGCCCCCCTGTCGTGACCCACACAATGCTCAGAACTTGGTTTATGTCTCAGCACAGCGCCCCCTAGGGCTGCCCTGGGTTGGGCACTGGCTGAGAGGAGAGCGCTCCCTACTGAGCTCCCTGAAGCACAGCATGAGGGGAGAATAACCTGTACTAATCCCCCTGCTCCCTGCAGCCCAGAACCCCCTAAACCTCTTATCAGAGAGGACAGTGCCCCCTACTGAGCCCCCTGCCCCGTTTCCTGCAGCGCAGCACCCCCTAGCACCGCGTTGGGGCCAGCACTGGCTGCGAGGGGAGGGCGCCCCCTATTGAGCCTCTCACCCTGCTCCCTGCAGCACAGCGCCCCTCACACTGCACTGGGTATTTGTAGTCCTTCCATCCAAGCCTAGCTAGGGAGATGTGCTGGCCCCCCGTGAGCGCCCCCCATGCTGTTTGCAGGCAGAGAAGGACAAGATCCTGAAGCTGAGTGCCGAGGTGCTGAAGCTGGAGAAGAACCTGCAGGAGGAGCGAGCCCAGAAGCAGGCGCTGAAATCTGAACTGTCCCACGAGAGGGACTCCAGCCTGGTAAGGCCAGTGCAGGGTGGACACTGTCCCTGGGACAGAGGGGAGCCCCAGTCTCTGCCCTGTAGGGGGTGGGATCAGAGCTGTGATGGGGAGGCCCTGGCGTGTGGGAGGGGGCGGTCCCTGCCCTATATGGGGAGGAATCAGAGCTGGCATGGGGAGGCCCTACCCCGAAAGCCACACACTGGTGCGAGGGGGCGCCCTGCCCCACAGGAGAAGGGATTGGGGCGCTCATGGGTTCTGCGGGATCGGGTGCCTGGGGTATGGAGGTTCCCTCCCGAGGCTGGTGCAGGGCTGGCCATTGGCACTCGCCCTGCCCTGGGGCAGTTCTCACGGTCCTGTGCCCCCTTCCCCCCTCCCCAGGTGCAGCTGTCGGAGAGCAAGCGGGAGCTCAAGGAGCTGCGTGCGGCCCTGAAGGTGGCTGAGAAGGAGAAGGAGCAGCTGCAGGAGGAGAAACAGGTTGGTGCCATCCAGGGTCAGAGATCAAAGGGGGCTGAACCCCGGAGCCAGGAGGGTATCAGGAGCGGGTGACATGAGCCACATTCCCTGCCCCCATCAGGGCCTTCCCTGCAGAGGAGCTGGGCGGGGCCCTGGGGTCAGGCAGGGATCCTGCAGCCTGGGCAGTGGGTGGGGGCAGGCAAAGCCCCTGCCCCCTCCGGGGTCCCCACCCAATCTCCCCATGGCCTGGGGCCCGGGGCGCAGGTGGGGCCGATCCTGACCCTGGCGGCTGTCCCCTCCCCAGGAGCTGCTGGAGTACGCCCGCAAGCTGGAGGAGCGGCTGGAGAAGGTGGCCGACGAGAAGTGGAGCGAGGTGACGGTGGCTGAGGAGGAGGAGACGGCGGCCACGGCGCTGAGTGGGTAACCCCCCGTCCCCAGACATCGCCCTGTGCCGCTCCCCCCCACCCCTGTTACCTCCCCAGCCGTCCCCATCCTCCCACCCCGTTACCCCCGTGCTCCTACCCTAATCCTCCCACCCACTACCTTCCCACCCCACCCCTGTTACCCCCATCTCCATCACCCCCATCCTCCCACCCCTGTTACCCCCATGCCCCTACCCCCATCCTCCCACCCGTTACCTCCCCACCCCACCCCTGTTACCCCCATCCACCCCACCCCCGTTAGTCCCCCACCCCCATCCCGCCCATCCTCCCACCCCTGTTACCTCCCCATCCCACCATTACCCCCATCCTCCCGCCGCTGTTACCTCCCTACACCATCCCTGTTACCCCCATTGCCCCCATCCCCCCCATAACCCCCTCACCCCACCTCATTACCCCCACCTCATCCCTTTAGTCCCACCTTTATCCCCACCTCCATTACTCCATCCACCCACCCACATCCCCCACCCCATTACCTCCCCACCCCATTACCCTTCTCCCCATAATCCTCCCACCCCCATTATCCTCATCCCCCCCCATAACCTCCCCATCCCATTACCCCCCGTTACCTCCATCCCTCACCCCTTTAGCCCTGTTACCCCCAGGCCCCCCACTTCTGTTCCCCCTGTCCCCCACCCCATTACCCTTCTCCCCATTATCCCCACCACCATTACCCTATCCCCTACCACTTTACCCCCCCATCCTTGTTCCCCCATCCCCCCACCCCCATTACCTCATCCCATTACCCCATCCCTGTTCCCCCATCCCCATAATCCCCCCACCCTGTTATTCCCATCCCTGACCCCTTTAGCCCTGTTACATCCTGTCCCCCCCACCCCATCCCATTACCCCTAGGCAACCCAGAGGGGCTGGTAACACTCCGCTCCTTGACCTGCTCTGCCCCCACTTCACTGCCTCACCCCGGGACCCTGCACCTCCGATGGTTACCCCCTCACTGTTACCCCTGTTCATCCCCCCTGCATCCCCGCCCCGCTCTCACTGCTATGTGCACTCTGCAGCCCCCCCCCTCCCTCCCTGACATCGTCCTGTGCTGCTCCCCCCACCCAGCTTTGTGCTGCCCCCCAGAGTTACCAACCCTGTGCCAATGCCAGCTGTCACTCCCCCCCCCCCCCGGTGCTGGCTCCCCCCTCCAGGCTCCTCCCCCCAGCAGGGGTCCCCCCTGTGCCCCACACACCATGCTCTGCTCAGCAGGGGGCACTGGCTGCCCAAGTGACCCTGTGGCCTCCCCTCCTCCCCAGGCTCCCTGGACTCCCCACTCTCGGACTCGGAGGACGAGTCCCCCGAGGACATGAGGATCCACACCCAGCTCAGCCCCTACAGCCTGTGCGACAACCGATCGGCCACCAAGACCCCGCCGTGCCTGCGGGAGCCCATGCACAGGGTGGTGATCAGCCAGCCAGCCCCCATCACCACCCAGATCAAGCAGGCCACTGAGGACAACAGCTCCGACTCAGTGAGTCCCCGGGGGGCGAGGACCCCCCCAAGCACCGGGCAGTGTGGAGGGGGAAACTGAGGCACAGGGACTTGCCCTTGGTCACACAGCAAGCAGGGGCAGGGGTGGAAGTAGAACCCTGGCATCCTGGCTGCCAGCTACTCATGCTACCCCACTCTTCCACACTCCCTCCCGGAGCTAAGGACAGAACCCGGGAGTCCTGGCTTTCTTGTGACCATCAGGTGCCATTTCTTTCTTGCCAATGGTGGCCCCCTGGCCCATGCAGAACATCCACCCTAGATTGATGCAGGGACCCCCACCCCCCCTCCCACTCTGCCCCAGTCCAGTCAGTTCACCCTCCTGTGAGCAGTAGCCCCCGCCGCATCTCATGCCGAGCCCCCGAATCGAGCCCAGTGATTATCTGCCAGTGTTGTGCCCAGGGACCCGCCAAGTGTGGTACTGCACAAAGGACCCTGTCTCATCCAACGGGCTTCAATCTTCTGATCCCTGGAACCTTAAAGCCCGGAGGTGGATGGGGTGGGCCCCCACCTTCCTGGGCAACAGAAAGCCCAGCTTTGAGGGTGCGTCTGAGCCTGCTTCATCCGGGGGGAGGGGTTATCTGCCAGCCCCCCAAACCCTCTTGCATTCCCCTCGACCACATCCCTGATAGGAGTAGCTGGAAGGTCCCTGGAGCTGCCCGGACCTGCCTCTAGCAAAAGGCCCGCTCAGCTGGTCCCTGCTGTCTGAAGGGAGCCCACGCAGGACTGGGGTCAGCTCTCCCCCTCCCCTCTAAGGACAAGGGGAAGGGGTGTCTGTGCCAGGCTGGGGATCAGGCCCACATTTGAAATCTCTCCGTGTCCCACTGCAGTCGCTGTTTGTTCACGGGGCAGATTCTTCCTCCCCCGTCCCTCCAGCCGTGAGTCGGGCAAGGGGCTTTTTAGACCCGCCCCTGTAAAACTGACAAACCTCTGATAATTGGCACGATAGAACATGCAGTTTACATGCAGTAACATTAATGGCCAGGCAGAAAAGGGGGGTGCCAGGGAGTCTCTCCAGCACCTCCCGCTGGGGAAAGTGGGGGGTTGGGGTCAGCCCCATGGGGAGTGAGGACTTCTCCCTGCCAGCCTCACAGCATCAGTGCTGGGGAGCCCCCACCTCCATCCCCAAAGGGGCAGCGAGAGCAGCTGAATGGGGGACTCTGCATCATCTGGGCCATCGCAACACTAGCCCTAGGAGGGGCTGATCTTAGCCCTCCAGGTCTGGGGCCCATCTACACTAGGAAAGCAACAGTGTTGGGGGGGATCTGGTTACAACACAGTAGCTCCCCCCCCCCGCAGGCCGAAACCAAAGCTCCAGCTCCCAACCCTCTGGGGCTTCTGGGCTGGTGAGATCTGGATGTGGCAGTCAGCTAATCACCAGGCATTTGGGGTTCCCTGGGGCTCCTGAACGGGAGCTGGGCTGGGGCTAGGGAGGTTGCCCGGCTGCTGGCTCCATGATTCCCCCGTACAGCCTGGGGGCAGGAACCTCACAGAGACCCATCGGGGTAGCCCACACCCTAGCAGTACAGCTGGGGACCTCGCAGCAACAGGGATAAAACTCAGACCCCTGTGCTCCCAGGGCCCAGCCTGCTGCCGCTGGAGGTAAAGGAGAATCCCCATCCATCCTCAGCAGTGTAGGGCCTATGACACATAGCAGGACTGTTCTTCCGGGGAGCCCAGCTGCTTGGGGGGGCACAATCACTATGCCTGTGCACGAGGGGCACCCGACTGCTGGGGGGGCAAGGGCTGGACTCTGGCCCCCGGTGCTCTCACCCTCGCTCTGACTGCAGGAGGCGGAGGACGAGAAGGCTGTGCTGATGGCAGCTGTGCGGAGCGGAGGGGAAGAGGCCAGTCTGCTGCTGCCCGAGTTGGGCAGCGTCTTCTATGAGATGGCAAGGTGAGGGGTGATATCGGCTGGGGCCTGTCAGCAGAGCAGGGGTCTGTTCCTTCACCCTGCCCATAAGGAAAGGATGGAGAAGAGGATGGAGGGGAGCACAGTGGGGGAATGGGGAGCAGGGTGGGGGATGGGAGGAGGATGGAGGGGAGCAGTGGGGGGCTGGGGAGGAGGATGGAGGGGAGCAGGGTGGGGGGATGGGGAGGCGGATGGAGGGGAGCAGAGTAGTGGGGTGGGAGTAGGGGAAGCGGGGGATTGGGGCAGCTTTCCAAGCCTCCTCTTAGTTAGTAAAAATATATAAATTTCCCTGTGGGCGCAGGGAGCCGGTGACTTTTACAGCCAGTGGCCATAAAAGTGGCAAGCACGGAGCTGGGAGATGTACAGCCGTGTCAGGGCATTTCTGAATCAATTTTCAGCATCATTAGATTCCTTTCTCCTGCAGACAGAGGCGGGCGGGGCGGGGGGTCTATTTGCAAGTGAAATAGAGAGAATCACCCAGCTGCAAGGCAAGGGCGGGTCTGTGTACCCATGTGGGGGAGGGATGGGATGCAGTGGGGGTGTCAGGACCAGGAAGGGCAGGTTGGTGCTGAGTGCAGAGAGGTGGGATGGGGTGTTGGGGGCAGGCAGGTGGATACAGAGGGGATGGGATCGAGGTATGGGGGGAGGGTGGGGTGGGATGCCAGTGTTGGGGATTGGCAGGGTGGCTGCGGCAGGGGGACAGGATGGGGGCGTCAGGATAGGGCAGGGTGGGTGCAGTGGGATGACGTGTCGGGGGGAGGCAGGGTTGGATGCTGGTGTTGGGGGAAGGGCAGAAGGGATGCGGGGGGATGGGATGGGGGAGTCAGGATAGGGCAGGGGGTGGGTGCAATGGGATGTCGTGTCGGGGGGAGGCAGGGTTGGATGCTGGTGTCGGGGGAAGGGCAGAAGGGATGCGGGGGGATGGGATGGGGGAGTCAGGATAGGGCAAGGGGTGGGTGCAGTGGGATGACGTGTTGGGGGGAGGCAGGGTTGGATGCTGGTGTTGGGGGAAGGGCAGAAGGGATGCGGGGGGACAGGATGGGGGAGTCAGGATAGGGCAGGGGGTGGGTGCAGTGGGATGACGTGTTGGGGGGAGGCAGGGTTGGATGTTGGTGTCGGGGGAAGGGCAGAAGGGATGCGGGGGGGATGGGATGGGGGCGTCAGGGGAGGGCAGGGTGGGTGCGGTGGGATGACGTATTGAGGGAAGGGCAGGGTGGGTGCAGGCTGCCGTGTGCAGAGGCGATGAGACGGGGGGTGTCTGAGGAATAAAAGGAATTCTGGGTTGAGGGGGCCACTGCTCCCCTTTGAGAAGGGGGAGGGGCTGCTGCGCTGTGGGGGGTGGGGGGTTGGTCCTGTGCAGGGAATTGGGGGGCTGCTCCGTGTTCTGCAGAGTCTGATGGGGAAGGAGCAAAAAGAGAGACCCGGGGGATGGGGGGAATCAGGAGGGGGGAGAACTGGAATAGCGGGTGTGGGGGGGAACCCATAATAGGCCCGGCTGTGCGCTCCGTGCAGGGCCGGTGGCGGGGGGCACTGCCAGGGCCCCGCTCAGGGGCGCGACGAGCTCTAGGGGTGCCTATCCTCCGTCTCTGTCGCCCCTTTGCAGCGGCATCACAGGCCGCCAGCCGTCGGACCCGGGCCCGTGTGGGATGGGCGCCTCCCCACTGGACCTGCCCGCGTCCCCCGGCCTGTGGAAGGAGTGCCCCATCTGCAAGGAGCGCTTCCCCCTGGAGTGCGACAAGGAGGCGCTGGAGGAGCACGTCGACAGCCACTTCTTCTTCAGCGCCCACGACCCCTTCGCCTTCGAGTGACACCCCCGTGGCCCCCGCCTCTCCCTGCCTCTCCCTGGACCCTCCTGTCAGGCACTGCCAGGCTGGCTCACCCCCTAGGAGCCACACCAGGGTGCCCTGGGCTCCCCCGAACGCTGGGGGGCGATTTTACCCCCTCCTCCTGCCCTCCATGGCATCTGAGAGCAGGGAGTGAAGGGGGGGGGGAAGCTGGGCAATAACGCCGCCTAGTGGCTGTTCCCAGGCAGGTCTGTAGGCCTGAGGTCTCCAGCCCCCACCCTGCTGCCTTAGGCTGAAATAGGGCGAGTTGCTCCCACCCCCCAATATGGGGTTCAACCACTGCAGATGCTGAGCGCTCATCAGTTGCGGGGGGGGGGCAGGCACACACACCCCTTGGCTGTGTGTCAGGGCAATAGGAATCCCCCGGGGGGTGTCCCCAACTCCCATCTGCCTCCTGGTACCTGAGACTGCTGCATAGAGCTGGGGAAGGCTCGCTGGGGGTGGGGGGTGTTGGAGCTGCGGGCTGCCCTAGGGGCACACTGTCTTCCCCCCCCTTCCCCCAATGTTTCCCCTGGGGCTCCAAACTTGGAGTGTTGGGAACTGCTGGGCACTGGATTTTGGAAGATACAGGAGATGGAGGAGCAGTTCAGAGAAGGTGAGGCCAGGTGAGGTTAGGCAGATTTCCTGGGTCCCTCAGAGCTCTGGGAGGTGCAGGAGGTCAGTAAGAGGAGAGCAGGGGAGGGGGCTGAGTGGGGTTAGGCTGCCCCATAGTTCAGGCTAAAAGGGGCCTGGATTCCCCCCCCCCCCTCGTGGACCCCGCCCTGGATCCCAAAGACCCCGAGCTCCGCTCCCCTGGGCCCAGTCAACTAGCCTTTGGGCTCTGGCTGGGCTACTGGTTTCCATGTCTGGGCTAGGGAATTTCGCGGCTGTCATAAGGATCTGTTCCCCCATGGGACTCAGTTTCCCTGGCTGCAGGGCAAGGAGACCCAGCCCCCCCCCACCCACCCACCCGTCCACTGCTCGGCCCTGCAGGACGCCAGCACATGCCAAGAGCCAGCCGATAATGCTGGAAGCGCTCCGCTGATTTGTTAGAATGTCAACTGCTTAAATAATTGGCACAACGGGCCTTCCATCAGCTCGTTCGCCACCGCTGCCTCCCACGCGGGGTTAATGGCCCAAGAGGGCCCACAGGATCCAGAGCCCCATGCACCGAAAACCTTCCCTTCCCGGTGATCTCAGGTCGGGGGTGGAAGTGGGGAAGGGTTGTGGGGGGGGGGGGTTGCCCAGGTTATGGGGGGGCAAAGGGGCCTGAGCTGGTGCCCAGAGCTCTGTGTGTGTGTACACCAGGGTATCTGTCCTGTCCCAGCCCATGTTGGGGGCTGGGTTTCCCCAGCTGCTTTTCTCTGCCAAGCGGCCTCCTGGCCCCAGCATCCCCTTGGCCTAGAATTGAGCCACTCCCTGCCCCGGGTCTGGTCCCAATCTCGGCTGCCCCATGGGGCGCCCCAGGGATCCCAGCCCCCACCTGGGTGTAAATCAGGAGTGACTGCCATGGGATCATCCAACCGTTGCACCAGGATCTCCTGGGGCAGCATCTCCTGGCTCTCTGACGCAATCTGCCACTCCCCGCAGCTTCTGGGCAGTGACTGTGCCGGGGCAGTAATGGGGTGGAGTGTGACCGGACCAGGAGGAGGGATCCAAAGACCCACCTGGCCAACTTGACAGTTGACAGGGTCCCTGGGGCATGGGAGGGGGGCAGGGTGCACCAGCCCTGACATGACAGCGGGGCGGGGGGCACAGATCTTGCATGACCTCTGGGAGCTGCAGGGGGGGACACAGCCTGACTGAACCCCTGGGGAGACAACGCGGGGAGGGTCACCAGCCCTGGCATGACCCCTGGACGGGGCAGCAGGCAGGGCAGAGCCTTGACACTACCCCTGAAATGGTTTTATTTTCACTTTGTTTTTTAAACACTCGTCCATTATTACTGTTCTAATTCTCAGGATTCAGGGTCCCCCTCCGCCGGGTCTCTGCGTCTTATAGCTACCCGCTGTAGCATGCTCAGTAATTAGTGTTGATTTGCAGTTGGTTTGCTTGATTTCGGGGGGAGGGGGGCAGTTCAACCCACCCCCACCCACTTGTACATACCCCACCTTTGATTATTCTCATGCACTTGCTTTTTGTATTCACGGTTGCAATTCCTTTTGTTTTTAATTTGTTTTTTTAAATATAATACTGTTGTGAGTCTTCATTTGCCCCCTGCTCTTCTTGTGGAGGAGGGAGAAAGAAGCCAGGCGTCCGGCTCGCCCCCGAGTTCTCGGTTAGTCGGTTGGGTGGGATGAGAGTTCGTGATTGTGCCTTTTGAATGCAGGAGATGAGGCTGCTGTTTTGATCACTGGTTTATGGGCGCTCTTTATTTTGTAACTTACCGTGGTTGGTGATTCTGATGTGTCCAGCTGTTCCCTGCTTCTCCCCAGGCCCATACCTGGCCGGTTTTTGTTGCTTTTTTAATGTCTTTTTCCCCCCGACAAAGACAACTAAGGTCCCCGAACGTCAGAGCAATAAAAAACCAGTGCACACACAGAGACACACACACGCACGCGCGCAGCCCATGTATAGTGTGTATATATATTTATATTACATGTCTTGGCTATTCTAATAAAATCCAGTCTCTTCAAAGCTTTGCCTGATTTATGGTTTATAGGGCACCGTAAAACCTTGCGCCACTCCGCCAGGCCCAGGGAGATCGCTGCCCTCCCAAGCTCTGCCAGGATAGTCGGGCTGCTTTTTACTCATGGGGGTAAACGCCAACAGAACTGCAGGGGGCAAGGCCGATGCCTGGGCAGCCGGGGGCAGAGATCAAGGCCGGGAAGGCAGCCGAAGCACCTGGGATTGGAAATATTCCTCTTGCTGCGATGGGGGACGCTGCTGTGGTGGAGCTGAGCAGGGCGGGATAAAAGATCTGTCCCCATCCCTTGGCTGGTGAAGGCTTTGCCTCCGGAGCTGTGCTTCCATATCTCCCCTGGCCCACATGGAGAGGCCGCTCTGGGCAGGATTGTTGCCTGCAGTAGATTGCCAGTCTGCCCCGCTGCAGTGTAAGAATGCAGTTCTGGCCACAGGGAGGAAATCAACACTCAGGTGGGGCCAGCTGGGTTTGGCCCAACTGCTGCAGACTGTTATGGCTTGAACGTGAGGCAGAGACTCAGGAGGCCTGGGTCTGACCCTGGCAGCAGCTACATGACACCAGGCATTTCTCGTTGCCACCAGCTCTAAGCAGTGACTCCATGCTCCTGTCTCCGAGACCAGCCAGTACCAGATGCATGAGAGGAAGCTGCAAGGACTGATCCTCGGGGAACAGGTCTGAAGGCCAGGAGTCGTGACTCCCAGCATCACAGATCCCAGCCTCCCTAGCCTGGAAGTATTACTATTATGGAACCATGTAGAGGTCCCAGCTGAGATCAGGGTCCCATTGTGCTAGCACAGAACAGACACAGAGCAGGAGACAGTCCCTGCCCCAGAGAGCTTGCAATCTAAACAGATGTGAGTGGGTGGGGAAACTGAGGCACCCAGTGGGGAAGTGACTTGCCCAGGTCATCCAGCCAGTTAGTGGCAGAGCTAGGAGTAGAACCCAAAAGTCCTGAGAGGCCTCGCCACGGGGCTAAGCTGCCTCCTTGTGGGTTTGTGGACAGGGTCAAAATGGACTTTAAAATCTCAGATGGTGGCTAGGAGATCTTCCGGGTCTACACCGGTGCTGCAGGAAGATGCGCTGGTAATTCAGAAGGGGGGGCAGAGCCAGGTCAGCCCTAGGGGGCACTGTGCTGCATGGAGGTGTCCTCTCCGGGGCGAAACATAGAGCTGAGGTCTTGACACCTTGTGTCATGACTTATGAAGAGAGGCTGAGGGAACTGGGATTATTTAGTCTGCAGAAGAGAAGAGTGAGGAGGGATCTGATAGAATCATAGAATATCAGGGTTGGAAGGGACCCCTGAAGGTCATCTAGTCCAACCCCTTGCTCGAAGCAGGACCAATTCCCAGTTAAATCATCCCAGCCAGGGCTTTGTCAAGCCTGACCTTAAAAACCTCTAAGGAAGGAGATTCCACCACCTTCCTAGGTAACCCATTCCAGTGCTTCACCACCCTCCTAGTGAAAAAGTTTTTCCTAATATCCAACCTAGACCTCCCCCACTGCAACTTGACACCATTACTCCTTGTTCTGTCATCTACCACCACTGAGAACAGCCGAGCTCCATCCTCTTTGGAACTGCCCTTCAGGTAGTCGAAAGCAGCTGACACTGAGTCAGCAGTGTGCCCTTGTTGCCAAGAAGGCCAATGGCATTTTGGGATGTATAAGTAGGGGCATAGCGAGCAGATCGAGGGACGTGATCGTTCCCCTCTATTCAACATTGGTGAGGCCTCATCTGGAGTACTGTGTCCAGTTTTGGGCCCCACACTACAAGAAGGATGTGGATAAATTGGAGAGAGTCCAGCGAAGGGCAACAAAAATGATTAGGGGTCTAGAACACATGACTTATGAGGAGAGGCTGAGGGAGCTGGGATTGTTTAGCCTGCAGAAGAGAAGAATGAGGGGGGATTTGATAGCTGCTTTCAACTACCTGAAAGGGGGTTCCAAAGAGGATGGCTCTAGACTGTTCTCAATGGTAGCAGATGACAGAACGAGGAGTAATGGTCTCAAGTTGCAGTGGGGGAGGTTTAGATTGGATATTAGGAAAAACTTTTTCACTAAGAGGGTGGTGAAACACTGGAATGGGTTACCTAGGAAGGTGGTGGAATCTCCTTCCTTAGAGGTTTTTAAGGCCTGGCTGGACAAAGCCCTGGCTGGGATGATTTAGTTGGGGTTGGACTAGATGACCTCCTGAGGTCCCTTCCAACCCTGATATTCTATGATTCTAATGGGGTCCCGGAAAATCCCCCAGGAACAGGAAAGTTAATCCCGAGCCCAAATCCAATGGGGGATTCCAGTCTGCCTCCTTCGATCCACTTCCCCAGCAGGCTTCTCCACTCCAGGCCTAAGATGTGGTGTGGCTGTTTAACAGCCGTCGCATCCCACCCCAGGGGTGGCCGCATCCTAGAGGTGGCTGAGTCAATGTCTGCGGGCAAGCCTGCGGGCTGTTTTATACAGGAGAGCCACTCACAATCCCCTTCTGGCCTGAAATATCCCTGGGGCTGCAGGGCTGACAGTTGGGGCCTTCTGCCTGGCAAGCCCTGGGCCCACTTGGTACCAAGTGCCACTTGTGCCCATCTGGGCAACCTGGCAGACTGAGCTGGTGCAGTTTGGGTTTGTTGCTATTGAGTAAGTGTCTGCAATGAGCCGGAACCAAGTGCCCCCCATCACTGAGACCTGAATGGGCCATGGAGACGCCTCTAGCCCCTCTTCCCAGGAGCCGGTCCCTCCAGAGCAGGGCTGGTCGACATCACCCCGGCTCTGTGTGGAATTGCCAGACCCAAGTTCCATCTAGTCTAGCATCCTGCCTCTGACTGTGGCCGGTGCGAGGTGCTGCAGAGGCAGATATAAGCAGGCTACAGTAGCAGATGTGGGATAATCTGCCCCACACATTACATCTGATCTTGGTCGCTGATACATTTAGGCTTAAACCACAAAGCCCAAGGTTTAATATCGCTGCCTACGTCAGCATTCACTCTTCTAACTCTGGCTAGTCCTGCTATCCACCGAAATGTCCCCCTTTGGGAGTGTTTGCCCTCAGTGACTTCCTGTGGCAGGGAGTTCCACAGTCCAATTGCCCTTTGTGTGAGAAAGTGTTGCCTCTCATCCCCTTTGAAATCCCCACCATTCACTTTCATTGACTGTGCCCTTGTTCTTGAGCGGGTGAAAGGCAGGATGGGTCTCCAGGGGCTGTCAGCCCTTAGTGCGAATTCCCCTTAGGACTGGATGGACCACGAAGGGAATGTGGCTCCAGTGGGAGAAAGGGATGTCTGGTATAGACCCTTTGCAGCCCAGTCAGTGTGTAGCCTCCAGGTTCCCCCCGAAGCCGCAACACGAACTCATGCACTGGGCTAGTGAAGCTGGAGGTGAGACCGGCCCCTTTGAGAGCCAAGCTGAGCTGGTCATGGGTGGGAAGTGGCTGTTGCAGGCACCCCAAGGAGTTGGGGGAGCTCCGTGGGTTGCCCGCTTGGCTGTGGGGCATGGTGCAGCTAGGGACCCTCCAAGGGGACAAACTCCAGGGAGCTGGAGCCACCAGGGAGAGAGGGAGGGAGGTGGAAGCAGGAGGCACCGTGCCCAATTCTG